GGCTTCAAGCCTGATAGCTCATGTCTCTAACTCCAGTACTCAGGAGGATGAGGCCAGACTAGATTAGATACAGTGAGTTTCCTGCTATCTGGATTAACAGAGTGAGGTTTGTCTCAAAAGCGAAACAACAGACACAGATTTGTTTCTTTGCAAGATTTCAAAGATGAAACTAAAAAGATCATCTTTTAAATTTACAGTGCATATGAAATACATAAAGATCTTACTAATTATCTGGGCATGGTGGTGCATTCCTTTAATCCCAGCACTCAGAAGGCAGAGATACATGGATCTCTCAGTTTGAGGTTAACCTGGGCTACAAGGCTAGTTCCAGGACAGCAAGGGCTACTGTCTTAAAAAAAAATAAAAATAAAAATAAAAAAGTTTACTAAAATGTAGACTAATTCTAAAGTGGGTTCTACAAGTTTGAGGAAGTTGTGCAGTGTTGAAGAAGCTCTCAGTGCCACTATCTCTCATTTGTATATACTACTGTGACTCCATGTTCTTCAGAACACATGCTACATTCCATACCTGTACAATACAATGATCCTAAACACTCCAGACTACCAGCCTGAAGAACTGAGAGGGAGGTTACTTTCTGCAGGCTCCTGGGTGACCTCCCTACACTTGGCACAGAGAACTATAATAACAGAGATAATTTTCTTCTTTTCTTTCTTTCTTTCTTTCTTTTCAAAGACAGGGTCTTTCTGTACAGTCCTGCCTGTTCTGGAACTTAATGTGTAAACCTGGCTGCCCTTGAAATCACAGAGCTCCACCTGCCTCAGCCTGAGTACTGGGATTAAAGGTGTACCCAATATGCCTAGCTTAAGATACAGACTTTTAAGGAAAAGGCACAGGCTACTAAACCAATATACAGATATTGATAAATTAAACCAATATACAGACATGGTCAGTAATTACTTAAAATGTATATATTTATTCTTTTACACAAATCGGTGTCTAAAAATATTCAGTCAACTTAACCACTTGCTCAAAATTAAGCACAGTAACAAAACTAAACAAAAAAGCACCATTGTAAACTCAAAACTTTTAAAACTCCATATAGTCAGGTGAACTTTGAAAGCAAATTTATTCAAAGGTCAAATGATGAAATTTCAAAAATAACTATAGTGATTAAGGATTCTGTGAAATACCCATAATTTAAAGCCAAACACTAACATGAGACAACATCTTAATATTGTTATTGGAACCAGTCAGATGATTCGATGGATCAAGACACTTGTCATACCGAACACATACACACAATAAATTAAAAAATGTAATTAAAAAATTTTAAAATCAATAAAATTTAAAATGTAATCCTGTTGTTTGTTAATCATCTTTAACCTTCCCCCAAAATTGCAATTATATAATCTAATTCCAAAATTAAACATATATAACTACACAATCTAAAAAAGTATTTTAATGCTGAAATCCACATTTCTGAAATGTGAGCTACCAGTACTACTAAGAGGCTGACCAAATCCACCACACTGTACTGCAAGTCCCAGAGATTCTGCTTGATCTGACCATGGCTCTCCTGAGTAGTTCTGATCTGTTCCCCGCTTCTTAGACTGGAACCTGGAACCTACATCTTATCTACACCAGCACCACAAATGTGCCCAGTGTCCTTGGTATTAGCTTGATATAAACCAGTGTATTCCTTTGGAAAGAAATTAGCAAGTTAGCACTGTTCTGACATTTTATTACCACTTCCTCTTTTTTTTGTTTTTTGTTTTTTGTTTTTTTGTTTTTTAAGACAGGTTTTCCCTGTGTAGCTTTGGAACCTGTCCTGGAACTAGCTGTTATAGGTCAGGCTGGTCTTGTACTCACAAGGATCCGCCTGCCTCTGCCTCCAAAGTGCTGGGATTAAAGACGTGCACCACCCCTGCCCTGCCTTTCTTTGGATTCCGATCTCAAGGTCTCACTTATTTTGCTATTGCCCACAACTCACTTCTACACATGAGCCCCACTTCTCTGCAACCTGGAACTTCCTGTCTTTCTTTTTGGTCTGGTGCCTCTTGCAGCCAGTTCTCATACACTTGAACCAAATTTTCCTGAAACAGTCCCAGATAAATTAATTGTTCAAGGAGAGTACCCTAATAATTTCCACATTTCAAATTAACTTATTAGATTGTATTTGAGACAGGGTCTCACTCTGCTAGCCTGGTCAGCCTGGAACTAACTATGTAGACCAGGTTAGCCTAGAACTCAAGAGATCTGACTACATCTGCCTCCCCAGTGTTAGGATTAATGACATTTACTCAAATTATTTTAGGTATGGAAATACTTTTAATATACTCAAAATTCTTCTTACCTGCCTGTTGGAAAACCAGAATTTCCGTTCATGGTATGCTGATAAGTAGAAAACATGCATCATACCACTAATGACAGCTGCAAGACAGCCAAGA